TCGCGAGTCTGCGAGGAACGGCTCACTAGCGGACGATGAAGACGACATCAAGGGCGTTGGTGCGTCTGTATACTCCGGTAATGTGCTTGTGTTTATCGCGGTTTCCCCACTGTTCACATACTCCTCGAAAGCGGGAGTTGATACGGTGAATACACACCCGGGGTTTCCTTCCGTTCTGACATATTTTCAGACTTCCATTGTCCTGTCTACGTTCATGCTGGCCATGGTACTGCACCCCCGAGTGTATGTCAAGGCTCGCGATGAGATTGAACGCATTGTCGGCATGAGCAACCTGCCTACGCTCGAGCATAAAGACTCGTTGCCGTATATCAACTGTATCATCCAAGAACTATATCGGTATGTGGCAGTGTTCAGGCAGTCCATCGTATATTATACTCTTCAGGATATCAGCTGGAATCCGCCATTGCCTCTAGGTAGAGTCACAGCACGATGGAAATGAACAGGACACTAACATTCATTTGATAGGACTGCCTCATCACCTGCAGTCGGTCGATGAGTACAGAAACTTCCACATTCCTAGAGGTTCAATGATTTTCGCAAACATCTGGTACGTGTGCAGTCGCCAATGTGTGCAATTGTACTATAACGCTGTCGGAACGTAGGCAAATGTCCCGCTCGGCCGAATTATATCGCGATGCAGAGTCGTTTCGTCCTGAGCGATCCTGAGCGATTTGAGGACGCAAATGTCGACGTATTGTCTGATCCTCGTAACTACGTGTTCGGCTTTGGGAGACGGTACGGACACTTGGCCGCTTGGTGCATGTCCCGCTCATCATGAGTCTGCTGCAGGATTTGCCCAGGAAGGCACTTCGCGGAAGACGCGATTTGGTTAGCCATCACGCACATTGTTTCAATCTTCGATATTGAGAAGGCATACAATGCGGACGGTGGCGAGATCACACCTGCTGTTCACTTCCGTCCGGGCCTCACTAGGTGAAGCCACTCTTCTCGCTGACTACAAAGTGTACGACGAATAATCACACCCGCCCACAGCCCTCCTGCGGAATTCAAATGCCGGATTTACCCGCGTTCATCTGAACTTGCGTCTCCGATCCTGGCCGGGCACTTGCATGAGTAGTCACGGAATGTATTCCATGACAATGTAGACAATGCCCGTGATATCCATTATGTGACACGGTTCTACTAGTAAGTCCCATCGAATCTGACTTGGGCGTCATGTGAGACATTGCCAGAATCGTCCGCCTTATATGTGGATATAAAGTGCTGATACTTGTGTACAATACAATATCAACGCAAGTATCGGGACGACTTCAGTTACGAGTACATGTGCCTTTCACAAGACGATCCACAACCTACGTCTTATAAACCCTCTCAACATGTTTCCTGTATTATACACAACCGTATCTCACGGCATATATTGGAATACAGTAGCAGGTTGGCAAAGCGACAACTTTGACGGGTTAATACAAAGTGCCAATCAAGGTCGCAATATCTGGACGGACTAATCACAGAATCTCCCGTAGGCGGTATCGCGGATTGCTGACATGAAATTGAAGGTACCCCTCAGTGAAGCTGTCCCAAGCATCTCTGGCGACTCCCTCCCCCAAAATATGCCGAACTCGATTGGCTAATGCGGTAGTTTCCTTCACAAGGTCCATTAGCGCCACCTCGATCGACTGTCCTGTGTACCGCGCACGATCGTGAATGTAGTTTGCTGTCTCTCCAGCGGATTCTTCCTTGTAGAACGACAAGATGTCGCTAGGCACGTGATTAATAGGGTTCCATTTGGGTACGATAAAGGCGGACGTACTTGCCAAAGTTGATGAATTTCATAGCATCCCTATGTAGATATTAGAAATGGCTGAGGTAGTGTAATGTCAACGTACGGAATGGCTTGCATCCAAACCGTGACATCGGGGAACTGGCGCTTTTCCCATATGAAAGAGAAGTAGACCTCAGGGAAACCGTCCATAATGCGCCGATATTCCACAAAGGGAAGCGCATCATGTTTCAGACGATGATCACCTATTTCATTCCCAAGTAGCGCCATGTTCATGAATTGAAGTGTCGATGTCAGGATGCAACTAGCTCCGAAACGCGGAAAGTGTTCCCACATTTTCGCTAAGATTTTGCTCAGTTCTGCTAGCAAGTCTGGAGATTCCGGTATGGTGCCTGCGCAGAGGGAGTAGTGATACGTTCGTGAGCTAAGAGATTCGATAATGCTCGGGTCGTCCATCGCGACAGCTATGGCAGTATAAAGGGCAATTGACACCTTGACATTCATGCTGTTCTTGCGGTAGGCAGTGCTTGCAATGAATATGCCTGTCGCGATGTGAGGTTGCAGCATGCTTCTTTGAGGCCAGCATGCTGTCTCATCGGCCACTCGCGCCTCAAGTTCGAGATCGCGGACATGGGGCACTATGTCTACCCCCATTTCCGAAACGAACCATTGGATGCCCCGCCTTGATACACTGGCCAAGTCGCCCTTGATATTGCCAGACAATGTCAGATCAAGTACCCAACCATAGGCGAGCGACGTACTGTAGTACTTCCGACTTCAGTTTTGTAGCTCTCCGTGTGGCATAGGCTGAGCGTTGCCTGCACCGTTGTACCCATCATTGATGCAGCAGGACCTCACCTGATATTCCAATATCAGCCTAACAACCAGTGCCACGAAGGGATCACTCCAGGGATCACTTACAATTGTCGGCTGCTGTATGGGCGTGGAATGCCTGATCAAGAAAGGGTAGCTGCTGAAAGACACTGACTCTTGACACGTAATATATGTCTTCATCAGCGCCCTGAGTGTCGATATGTAGATTATGAGGACCCAGACAAATAAATGTAGAGCGCCGAAAGCACGCTCAACTCGACTCGGCTACAGTATATCCTTGATTTCATCAGAACTGGCCGGATCCCTGGCCTCGTGATATCACGACCGGACGACAGGCATTTTCCGTTGATACGCCAGCCAATGACATACTAAAGTGTGCTATCAAATCAATGATGTGCGGTTGATGACCGTGGTCAAAAGTCATAGTCATTGATCATTGACTTGCTATTGGCCCTGGGACACTCATACGTCCGCCCGAAACCTGTAGGGCAAGGACACGGAGTGTTCCGCCCTCTCCGGGGCGGTTCCGTACGAGGGCGTGGAGCCCACTTCTAAGAGCCGCCTCCGGCTCGGCTGCACTCTGCATGTACCTACGCTGTATGGAGTATAAACCCGTGGAATACAAATAAATATATAGAAAGACTCTGGGACACTCATGACTCCGAGGTAAGCCCGGGGTCCTCGGGCACAGTGTTGGTCGAGGTCATACTTCCTTTTACAATATTGTGAGTGCTTGCGCAGCCTCAAAGAGGTGGGTTGTCAATTATCCTGAAGCATTCACTGTATGGAAGCGATGTGCGCACCCGCACCACCTTGCCTGGTATCTGAACCTCAGTTCTCTGCAGTATTATGCTGAGCGTCGGCTGAAGGAAAGGTCAGAATTAGCTACTGAGGAAGGGCAGCACACCAATGTGAACCGACAACTGGATTTGCGAAAAGACCAAGCACGTGTTCCATCATCGGCATGCTTTCCCCTCCCCAGTCAGGTCATGGTACTCCGGTGGACTTGACAGGCCCAGGAGGCAGGTTGCACCTCTACCCCATCCCAAAGTGTCCAGAGGTTGGACTTGGACATCGAAATCATTTCCATCGTGATGGAGAAAGCATTGAGAGTGGGCCTGTCATGAGTTGGCATATGATCAGCATATATACCTCCAGTCAGATGTCAAGCCAAGCTTGACATTGCACCCTTTTGGTGTAGAGGTTATGATGTGAGACCGGCACATGCATGTAAATCCTTACAAAATGTCAAGTTTCAAGTGGTCGAGGGTTCAACTCCCCATGTGAGCAGACATTTCAAGCAAATTCACTAGAGGTCACATGTGATATGTGATTGCTTGGCAGTGAAAGGGAGCTGGTGTCTGAGGTCCAGATGTTCAGGTGACCGGACTACATGGGGTCCTCCTGAACTCTCAGAAGATCATCAAGGTTAAGCCAGAGTTGGTAACCCTTGGGGTCAGGGTATTATATGGATCCACATGAGGTCATGTGCCCTGGGAGGGGATAATGTCATGAGTTGACATATGATCAGCATATATACCTCTGGTCAGATGTCAAGCCAAGCTTGACATTGCACCCTTTTGGTGTAGAGGCTATGATGTGAGACTGGCGCATGCATGTAAATCCTTACAGGGCCAAGCATCCATTATGGCATGCGGGCCGTGTCAGAAGATAGACAATCTGAACTCATCTCCTGGTTGCCTTGTCAAGTAGCTGTCACGACTTAGGGTCGAGCAAGGGAGGAAACACAGACTAAAAGATGCTGGGTCGTTCGACTGGGTCTTACCGAAGTGATGGTGAGCAGAGCTCAAACCTAAGGCTAGGGACAAGAAATGTATTAGTTAGTGAAGGTAAGTAAAGGATACAAAGGAGCTTACTGACCTAGGGACAAGAGGTCGAAACTGAGGTCCCTAGGGCAGCAGAGGCCGGCTTATATACAGGGGATGTTTAGGGGAGGCTGTGCGCACTGGTCTGTGCACAGCTGGTCTGTGTGCAGCATGCTGACACAGCCCCGGGGGCTGGTGACTCAGAGCGGCTGTGTCAGCAGAGCCCGAGCTGTGTCACGCACTGCCGCCCATCTAATCTAATTGTACAGTAGATAGTGACACGTCCATATCAGGCATGTAGTACAGAGGTCATGGGTTCGAGCCCGCAAAAAGGAAAAATTAAAAAATGGCTAGATGCCATGTCAACTCGTGACATTACCCCCCCCCTCAATGGCGCATGACCTCATGCGAGGCGCCTTTGCCCATCTCCCACCCGGAGCGGCATCGTGCTTCAGTCAGTGGCGAAGGCATTGGCTGAAAGTTGAGACCACCAAAGGTGACAGCGTTGAGGCGACGAGGGGTGTTCGGGTTCTTCCGGTGGAAGTCGGCTATGAGGGCCGGCGCATTGGCAACATTGCGCGCCGGTTCCCATGACGTATGTGAGTCGTCATAACCCTTCCACTTGATGAGGTATTGCAGCTATTGCCAGAAGATCCTCGAGTCCTTGATCCGCTTGACCTCATACTCCTCGTCACCCTCAACCTTTATGGCAGGTGGCTCCTCCGGCTCCCGGCCTGGGATATCGCTACGCGTGTACTTGCTAAGCAAGGAGACATGGAATACCGAGTGCACCGGCACCGACTTCAGCAGGATTAATTTGTAATCCAGGTCTCCGAGCTTTCGCCGCACGGCATAAGGTCCGAGGCGCTTGGGACTGAGCTTCTTGCTCGGTTGTTTCAGCTTAAGGTTCCGGGCATCAAGCCAAACCTTGTCCCCCGGTGCGAAGACCAGTGCCTCTTGCACAGATCGGAAGGCGATAGGGTGCCATTTGCCATCGTCCTGCTTCTGCATCAACACGCCGCCAGTGGCGTAGCCCGAGGCGTCAACCTCAATGCGTGTCTCTCAATTTGGGTCATATAGCGCCAAGACCAGTGTGGTAGCGAAGAGGCGTTTGAGCTCGTCGAAGGCATGTTGTTCTTCCTCGCCCCAATGCCATGGGTCATTCCCTGTGAGCCGGTCGAGTGGTCACGAGATCTTAGCGAAGTCTTTAATAAAGCGGTGGTAGAAGTTGGAGAACCCCCGGAACTTCTGAACATCTTTCTTGTTCCGGGGTACCGACCACTCATTGATTTCTTTCAGCTTCACGGGATCCATAGCCACCTCATCGCCACCAAACACATAGCCGACGTAGTCGACTTTGGGAACGTCCCATTCACACTTTTCAGGCTTCAGGAACAGATCGTTGTCCTGAAGGCGGTGCAGAACCTCGCGTGTGACCTTCTCATGCTCCTCCTTGTTGGTGGAGAAGATGAGTATATCGTCCAGGTACACAAGGATCTTGCCGCCAACGATGAGATCATGGAAGATCTCGTTCATCATTGCCTGGAAGGTCGCGGGGGAGTTGGTGAGACTAAAGAACATCACCAAGGGTTCGTACAACCCTCGGTTAGTCACAAAGGCCGCCTTCCATTCGTCACCGGCCTTGATCCGGACGTTATTGTATCCCCATCTGACATCGAACTTTGTGAAGAGCGTGGCACCGCAGAGCTTATCCACCATTTCGGCGATCAACGGCAAGGGGATAGCGATTTTTGATGGTGATTGCATTCAACCTGCAGTAATCCTGCACGGGTCGAAGTGTTCCTTCCTTCTTTTTGATGAAGAAGAAGGGGGATAAGATTGGCGACTTCGATTCCCGTATGTAGCCCTTCGCTAGTTGCTCTTTTAGGAACTTATCGAGTTCCTCCTGCTCGTTGTTCGACAGGGGGTACACTTTCGAATGGAACGTCGAGTAGCCGGGCACGAGTTCAATCGCGTGATCATAAGGCTTCCTTTCGGGCAGCCGTTCTGATGCTTCTTTGGAGAAGACATTCAGGAACTCGTGGTACTGTTTGGGTACCGACTCCTCAGCGGTCTTAACGACCTTTTTCTTGATCTCCTCCTCAGCGAACAGCTGGGAGTACGTATGCCCTGCTGCAATGAACAGCTGAGGGGCGCCAGGAAGCGTGATACCTTGCTCCCAGGCTTCGATCAAATCGGCCTCATCCCATTCTACTTCCGCCAGATCTTCTTTGGGTTCGAAGTCCGGGAGTACCTTACTCCGGCAAGCACCTATGACCGACCGTTTGGACTTCGGCGAACGTCTGCGCGCCGTGGGCCTGACCCCCGTATCACGCGCAGTCGCTGCTTGCTCCATCCGGCCAGTCTTCCTGGCACTACACGTCTCAGGGCATTGTGATAGCTTTAGGAAGCCTTCTTCCCAATTGATTTCGGGGTTGTGTTTGCGTAGCCAATCCAACCCTATGATCACATCCTCTGGACCGATGTCCGTGACCGTAAACACTGTCTTCTCAACGTGTTCTCCTATGTGCATCTGTAGCACTGCTACTTCCGAGATGCGTCCGTCCTTGTTCAGGGTGCCATCAATATTATGCAGCGGAATCGGTTCTTTTAGCTTCCGCGTCTGCACCTTATTTTCTACAATGAATCGCTTGTTGATGAACTTCGTGGTGGCTCCGCTGTCCACCATAGCGATTATGTCCTTGTGCCGTCTTTTCCCCTTGAGTCGTACTGGAATGTGGAAATGCTGGGACCCCTGGTCCAGCTCGTACACCATTGCAGTCGACAATACGTTATATTTATTACATGATGATACTCGCGGCCCGACACGTGCGGCACGAAGCGCGGACCGGATCAAAAACCCTCCTCCTTCATTGCCCGATAGTGCTCGAGCTCCTCGCGCATCGACTTCACCTGTGCCATTAAGTCCGCCAGCTCCGATTGCTCGGATTTCGCTGAAGCGGCACTTATACTTGCCGAGGGTGATGTCGTGATGGGGGCGCTTGTCGCAGCCTGGGTGGAGCCCGAGGCAACCGTAGCCCGCGCGTCGGCGCGTTTTGTGTAAGGCTTGTCCTTACAGTTGGGGCACTCGAAACGTTGGTACCCTTGCTGTCGCGACTTGAGGTCAAGCGACAGGGAAATATCTGGAAGCGAGGGGCATCCGACTGGTTCTCACCGAAGCGATGGTGAGCGAGGCTCAAACCTAAGGCTAGGGACAAGATAGTATATTAGTTAGTTTAAGTAAGAAAGGAATACAAAGGGGAGCTTACTGACCTAGGGACAAGAGGTCGAAACTGAGGTCCCTAGGGCAGCAGAGGCCGGTTTATATACATGGGGGGATTAGGGCAGGCTGTGCGCGTTGGTCTGTGCGCGTTGGTCCGTGCGCAGCTGGTCCGTGCGCAGCATGCCGACGCGGCCCCGGGGGCCGGTGAGTCAGAGCAGCTGTGTCAGCAGAGCCCGAGCTGTGCCGTGCGCTGCCGCCCCATCTAATCTAATCGTACAGTAGATAGTGACGCGTCCATATCCGGTATGTAGTACAGAGGTCGCGGGTCAAGCCCGCGAAAAGGAAAAATTAAAAAACGGCTAGACGCCGTACCAACTCGTGACACTTGCTTCCCACAGCCAAAGCAAGTGCCAGGGAAGTTGCCTTTTCCAACGGCCGCGTTGATGCTGGCCGAAGTTGCGTGGGATTGGGGTGCACCACCACGTGCCCCTCCGCGTCCTCGACCTCGGGTCGAGAAGAAGTTGTTCAACTCGGGCTGCCGGGCCCGGCTGACGTCGAGGATTTGCTCGACCTTGGTGGTGCGCTTGTCAGTGGCTTGCCACGTGGCAAAGGTTTCGAGCTCGATCTTTTGATAGACGCGGGAAGGGATGCCACTCAGGTACTTGTCGCGTAGTTCCAGGTCCCCATACCCGGAACGGTCCGCCAGACCCTTGAACAGCGCAGAGAATTCTGCGGCGGTGCGCTTCTCTCGCATGGTTTTGTCAGCACAGAGCTTGGTGAGCTCTACCTGTGCCGCAGCGGCGTCGTCGAGGTTGCCGAAACGGGCTTTGAACGCCGTGAGGAAGGTCGTTTCGTCGGCGAAGGGCGTTGTCGCTCCCTGAGTCCCAATATGGAAAGCGGCAAGCTGGGCGAAGATGGGAGTGGCCCAGGCTCGTGCGTCACCATCGAGGAGGCTAAGGGCAACTTGGACCTTCAGTTCAATGGTAGAGAGGGTCGTGTTAATCGCCCAGTAGATGAGCAACTGGGAGATGAAGCGGTTGCACTCGACAACAGTTTTCCCATCGTATTGGAGGGGGAGAAGGAGCTTCAACGTCTCTTTGTCAGGTGCGGCGGCGGGAGAAGACATTATCGGCAACGAGGGGGACGAAGGACTGCCTGCGGACAAAGGCGACTGTTGTGACTGTCTGCCGGGCGAACTTCGCGAGGAATGAGTGCTCGGGCGGCCTCGCGGCGGAGATGGCGGTGAAGGCGCTACAGGAAGCCCGGGGGAGGGGTTACGTACGTCAGGGACTGCTGACGTGGAGGCGAGCGCTGTCGGCGAGGCGGGCCGAGCAGGATCCGCGGACTCGGACTCCGAGACTCCTTCTTTACTCGCACTCTCCTCAGGCTCAGGCTCTGGCGCAGGGTCTGGAGGGAGATCTCCTCGCGCTTGACTTGGATCGGTGACAACAGTTTGAGGAAGTCGGGAGCTAGGGGAGACAGGGCGAGAATGCCGTGAGGCGGAGCGAGACGCGAGGGTGCTGCGGGGACCGAGTGGGTGTTGAGCCCGTCTGATTGCCTTGTAGCGGGGGTAACCCTCCTCGATCGATCGGGGTGTCCAATTTGGGCATGGTTGCTGCTCGCAACGGTAGAGGGCAGTCTCAGGGCCATCTGGGATGTAGACGTCGATGAGATCCTGGGAGTCAAACGCATGAATCTGGCCTTGACAGGCAGCCACGATGGATGGGGGGAGAACGGGGAGGTGCGCATGCTACAAAGGCCGTGCTATACTAGCTTACACCTACGGCGCCCGAAGTAACGCTAGGGTTCGCGATTTACGTGGGGCCCAGTACTGCTTTTGGCTAGTATGCAGCAGGAACCTAGACCACTCGTCCGTTAGGACAAACACTGCCCACTAAAGTGCAGGTGTTGAAAGGTTTGTTCCCTAAGCGGTGGCGATGTATAGTACGCTATCTACGTATCGTAGAGTAAAGTAAGGGTGCGCACCACCCGACCTGTAGGAAATGAATGTGAGTTTATGGGAGTCCCGAGGGACGCCGGCAGCTATGGTGTCGCGACTTGAGGTCAAGCGACAGGGGAATACCTGACAGCGGGGGGCGTTCGACTAGATCTCACCGAAGCGATGGTGAGCTAAGCTCAAACCTAAGGCTAGGGACAAGTAAGTTAGTATTGAATAAGTAAGTAAGTACAGGGGCTTACTGACCTAGGGACAAGAGGTCGAAACTGAGGTCCCTAGGGCAGCAGAGGCCGGTTTATATACATGGGGGGATTAGGGCAGGCTGTGCGCGTTGGTCCGTGCGCAGCTGGTCCGTGCACAGCATGCCGACGCGGCCCCGGGGGCTGGTGAGTCAGAGCGGCTGTGTCAGCAGAGCCCGAGCTGTGCCGTGCGCTGCCGCCCCATCTAATCTAATCGTACAGTAGATAGCGATGCGTCCATATCGGGCAAGTAGTACAGAGGTCGCGGGTTCGAGCCCGCAAAAAGGAAAAAATTAAAAACGGCTAAACGCCGTACCAACTCGTAACATATGGGGAGTTTCGACCTGATGTCGCGACTTGAGGTCAAGTGACAGGGGAAGACTTCAGAGCTGGGGGCGTCCAACTAAATCTCACCGAAGCGATGGTGAGCAGTGCTCAAACCTAAGGCTAGGGACAAGAATGTATTAGTTAGTAAGTAAAGGAAGTAAGTACAGGAGAGCTCACTGACCTAGGGACAAGAGGTCGAAACTGAGGTCCCTAGGGCAGCAGAGGCTGGCTTATATACATGGGGAGATAAGGGCAGGCTGTGCGCACTGGTCCGTGCGCAGCATGCTGACGCGGCCCCGGGGGCCAGTGAGTCAGAGTGGCTTGTGTCAGCGGAGCCCGAGCTGTGCCGTGCACTGCCGTCCTATCTAATCTGATCGTACAGTAGATAACGACGTGTCCATATCCGGCAGGTAGTACAGAGGTCGCGGGTTCGAGCCCGCGAAAAGGAAAACATTAAAAAACGGCTAGACGCCGTACCAAGTCGTGACACACACGGTGTGGTGGCTCCCGCCACCGGGGGATCATCCTAGGCCAACCAGGGGACTGTGGCAGAGCACATTGTGACATAGGGTTGAGTTCATTAGTGAGCAGTAGTACTCGCCGCATTGTCCTCATCCGTATTCTGCTGCCTTATTATGTCAATGCATTTTTGAAACCCGAATTTTATGGTTGAAAGAAATAAAGGGTGATGACATTGAACACGAAAATCAGCTTTCCACTCTATCACACAGATGGTGATTCTTCCTGGCACTTGTGCACTGTATAAGAGATTGTGACATCCTATTGTGCTAGGTGACAGACTGTCACGAGTTGGTACGGCGTCTAGCCGTTTTTTAATTTTTCCTTTTTGCGGGCTCGAACCCGCGACCTCTGTACTACCTGCCTGATATGGACGCGTCACTATCTACTGTACGATTAGATTAGATAGGGCGGCAGCGCACGGCACAGCTCGGGCCCCGCTGACACAGCCGCTCTGACTCACCGGCCCCCGGGGCCGCGTCGGCATGCTGCGCACAGACCAGCTGCGCACGGACCAACGTGCACAGCCTGCCCTAATCTCCCCATGTATATAAGCCGGCCTCTGCTGCCCTAGGGACCTCAGTTTCGACCTCTTGTCCCTAGGTCAGTAAGCCCTCATTTGTATTCCTTTCTTACCTTACTAACTAATACATTCACTTGTCCCTAGCCTTAGGTTTGAGCCTTGCTCACCATCGCTTCGGTAAGAACCGGTCGAACGCCCCCAGCATCCTTCAAAGTCTGTGTTTCCCCTGTCGCTCGACCCTAAGTCGCGACATCAGGTCGAAACTCCTCACTGCTGCCGCGTTCTCGGAACCC